ATTCTTTATTTTATTGTTAAATTGTCAACTGCAAGAAATGTTTAAATAAAAAATATATTATTCAGTTTTGAAAAAGAATTTTGTAATGTTTCAAAAATTTAAAAACATTAATGATTTTAACTTAAACTTTCTTATTGAATAACAAGTATTGTTATAAGCTCCCTACAATACACATGATTCGTATCCTTGTGAAATAAACAATTTAGTTTGAGAGTCAACTCAACTATTTTATTATCTTATAAACAAAACATCGTCCTTTCTAAACATTTTTCAAGACTTCTGTTGACCAAGTATCATAAACAATAATCGTTGGTGTGTCAATAGCAAGTAGAGCTATTCTAAACGATGCTGTTGGAAAATTCTTAGTTGAACTTTTGCTGATCGAACCCTTATCGTAGACTTAGCCAATTCACAAGCAAGACTATAATTAACGATTGAGTAATATACCTTCTGCTCAAAAAGTATTCGGATTTTGTAAATAAAACACACAAAAATAAATTTTATTCTATATTTACTTAAACTCCTTCAAAATATGCTCTTCTGAAGCGATGCACATGTGCCAACGTTTAACCCAATCTTCTATACACTTTTCGTAGACCCGTGCAGGTGTGGCTTTTAGTTCCTTCGACGAATTCTATTTTACCGATTCAATCCACTCAAAACGCTTACCACGAAGAGGCAATTTGAGTTTCGGGAACAGGAAAAAGTCGCACGGATCCAGATCTAGTGAATATGGTGCCAGAGCGATGACAGTGGTGCCTTGTTTGGTCAAAAAATCGCGTACAACTAGAATTTTCCATAGTAAAAATCGCTAAATGCACTTGAAGTAGTCTCACATTAACAGCTGCTGTAAATAAACTAATTGACAGATGGCGCTTTAATTTGTGCCATATGTCAAGAAACGGTGTACCAATATAACAAAAAAAATTTTGAAAAAGGTCTATTACTTAAGGAGTAGTTAACAAACAACAAAATCCGGATACTTTTTGAGCAGAAGGTACGTATGCAACACATGGCACAAATATAGCTGCTAAATTAAGAATCGTAATTACAAGTAAGATTACTATCTCAGCAAAATTAAACTGATACTGGAATGGAATTATCTGACATTTCATCTTGAACCTCACTACCATATCAATAAGAAGAAATTGTTTGATGTAACAGTCTTATTGCGTCTAGAAGTAGATGAATCTTGTAGTTACTACTGTTTTCACACTCAGCAATGCTATTACAGCAATTTCAGACCCTCTCCGAACTGATAGAGGAAACTGATTGATGTTACAGAGTATCCCTGCTTTGCACTAAGTCAGCAAAGCCATGACAACAGTTTCTGACCTTGTCAAGCTAGCAAATAGACAGAAATTTAATTCGTAAGGAAGAACAAAAAGCTGTTGTGTATTTTAAATAATTTCAGTAATTTAAAAAAATTTTATCTTATTAAACGACGTTACATTAATATTGGTATATGTTAAGCCTAAGCCTTAAGCTTCAAACTCCTTCCTTCTTTCTGGGTGTCTATAGCCAGTAATCAGGTACTCTTCAATAATTAGGCTAATCTGCGTCAAACAGGCAAAATACTTTGTGCTTTAATTAAATCAAGAAAGTTATCTAACTTAACTTATTGAATTTTAATATTTAAAACTCCACTCAGAAAAATATGCTCTAACCACATACTATGTAAATTAACCTGATCCTTTTATTAGAAAAGTTTTAGCTTATGTGGTGTAGAAGATATAAAAGCCAAGATGTGGTTGAGCCAATCTAATGCATCGAGTAAGAATATTTTGACCTGAGGTCTACTTAAAATCTGATTAAATAAACCAAATTATTTTTTTGAGTGTACAAAATGTATAATATTATCTCCTTCTCCACAATTATATTAGCAATTTAAAATAAGTTAAAAAATTGTTTATAAATTAATAACATAAAATTATGCTATTAAAGTCTTTAAAGTGCTTTTAAATAATAAATATTTCAAGGATATGTGCTGCCAGGGTGTTGTTTGCAAATATTAAAGCTCTTATGTGCACTTGAGTTAACCGTTTCAATACTGGATTTTGCCACTGGCTCAAATAACATTCAGTCGCACTAAAAATATATAAATTTTAGAAAATAAAATGAAATATAAACAAGTCATGTCCAGCGGAAAAACTGTAGTTTTTCATTGCTCTGTACTATAGTTGCCAGATTGGCTCATTGTTTTTGTTTTTACAATTCCGTTTCGTTGACCTCATTGCGTCCATAGTCAACTTATAAAGCAATTTAACGAACCAACAAAAAATTTATATATTTTGATGGTGGAAAGGATGTAAGCAATAGAAGAAGTTCCGGTAATTGTTATGCAGGCTATAACTTAATAATCAGCTAGGACACTACGCCACACAATAGGAAACGAAAACATAGAGGTTTATGTAGAAAATGTGTTGATGGCGTTAAACCGCAAATTGGTGGCACATATTCAACCGCTAAGAGTTTGAAAAATAGTTCCAAACGACTTTTAATTTAATTTTTTGTCACATTTACGATCACAGACAATGTAAAGTAGAGTACCGCAAACTGCAGGACAGATGTGCAATGGTGCGCTACTATCGAAAATCGCTTTTGTATCCTATCGGTTACTTCCCATCCATTTTCACTTTGTAAACAAACTTTTTTGTCATTTGAAATGGAATTGTGCAACGGGATGAAGGAACCCAGTTTTAGTTTGTTTTCCTTATCGAAAGTGTGAAAAAGGACATTGCAAATAGTTGACACTAAGAAATATATAAAATTGATATTGAACTTTTCCTTATTTTTATTCTTATTGGCTAGAATAATAAATAAAACATTACTAAGAAGCTTTATGGTGCAAATGGATTTATTTTAAATCATTATGTACTTCAAAGGATATAAACACCATGAAAGTTTCAAATTGAAACTATTTATACTTTTTTTTTGATGTTTCTTAAAACTTTTGCGAGTGCAAGCAAATGAAAAATTGAAGATACTTTTTACTAGTTCACAAGATAAATTTTTTACTTGATGAAGCAAAGAAATAATATATAAAATTTAGAACAATATCTATTATTTTAATTTTGATTTAATGCTTTAAATTAATTTTAAATTTTCTTAATGCTAGAAATAACTTCGTCGTTTTCTCGATCGTCGTCCATTTTAGTAGTTCTTTTTGTGGTATAGAGCTTTCGACATGAAAAATACATAACAGAGGTTTTCTGTAAAACATTCATTTTTAAAATGAATTTTTTGTGTGATTTTTAATACTGTTGTTGTTGTTTTCGATTCACTTATTTTTATCATTGTTAGCTGGCACTTTGATTGTTGCCTATTTTTCAATATGTATTTATGAACTTAGTTGAGCATTGGCCTAATGAGTAAGTGAAGTGAAAGAGATTACTTAGCAATTTATTTTTCTTACATTTGTGTTTCAATGAAACATAATAGTATCTTGAAGTTATAATGACTTGATATGTAAGAGTGTGACTTA